TACAAATATTATTTTTGGGCATCTGTCTCTCACTCCACACAGAGATGGAGCATTCACCTACAGGAGGCACATGCCGGAACCATAGACACGCGTACGGAACCATAGACGTACGGAACCATAGACACGCGTACGGAACCATAGACACGCGTACGGAACCATAGACACGCGTACGGAACCATAGACGTACGGAACCATAGACACGCGTACGGAACCATAGACACGCGTACGGAACCATAGACACGCGTACGGAACCATAGACACGCGTACGGAACCATAGACACGCGTACGGAACCATAGACACGCGTACGGAACCATAGACACGCGTACGGAACCATAGACACGCGTACGGCACCATAGAGACGCGTACGGCACCATAGAGACGCGTACGGCACCATAGAGACGCGTACGGCACCATAGAGACGCGTACGGCACCATAGAGACGCGTACGGCACCATAGACACGCGTACGGCACCATAGAGACGCGTACGGCACCATAGAGACGCGTACGGAACCATAGACACGCGTACGGAACCATAGACACGCGTACGGAACCATAGACACGCGTACGGAACCATAGACACGCGTACGGAACCATAGACACGCGTACGGAACCATAGACACGCGTACAGAACCATAGACACGCGTACAGAACCATAGACACGCGTACGGAACCATAGACATGCGTACGGAACCATAGACACTCGGACAGAACCACATCCCCAGCTTGTTGCAAGCGCAGGTCTCCGTGTCTCCTATGCACAACCAAAACTCACAAAATTACCTACATTTTCCCTTGCATTAAAAATGCATTTTGTTGTCCACAAAAGTTTATGTAAACAGAACCACGGCAGGTGTGTGGCGTGTTCTGATGTAAACAGAACCACAACAGGTGTGTGGCGTGTTCTGATGTAAACAGAACCACAGCAGGTGTGTGGTGTGTTCTGATGTAAACAGAACCACAACAGGTGTGTTCTGATGTAAACAGAACCACAGCAGGTGTGTGGCGTGTTCTGATGTAAACAGAACCACAGCAGGTGTGTTCTGATGTAAACAGAACCACAGCAGGTGTGTTCTGATGTAAACAGAACCACAGCAGGTGTGTGGTGTGTTCTGATGTAAACAGAACCACAACAGGTGTGTGGCGTGTTCTGATGTAAACAGAACCACAGCAGGTGTGTGGTGTGTTCTGATGTAAACAGAACCACAGCAGGTGTGTGGTGTGTTCTGATGTAAACAGAACCACAGCAGGTGTGTGGTGTGTTCTGATGTAAACAGAACCACAGCAGGTGTGTGGCGTGTTCTGATGTAAACAGAACCACAGCAGGTGTGTTCTGATGTAAACAGAACCACAGCAGGTGTGTGGTGTGTTCTGATGTAAACAGAACCACGACAGGTGTGTGGCGTGTTCTGATGTAAACAGAACCACAGCAGGTGTGTGGTGTGTTCTGATGTAAACAGAACCACAGCAGGTGTGTGGTGTGTTCTGATGTAAACAGAACCACAGCAGGTGTGTGGTGTGTTCTGATGTAAACGGAACCACGACAGGTGTGTGGTGTGTTCTGGTGTAAACAGAACCACGACAGGTGTGTGGTGTGTTCTGGTGTAAACAGAACCACGACAGGTGTGTGGCGTGTTCTGATGTAAACAGAACCACAACAGGTGTGTGGCGTGTTCTGATGTAAACAGAACCACAGCAGGTGTGTGGTGTGTTCTGATGTAAACAGAACCACAGCAGGTGTGTGGTGTGTTCTGATGTAAACAGAACCACGACAGGTGTGTGGTGTGTTCTGGTGTAAACAGAACCACGACAGGTGTGTGGCGTGTTCTGATGTAAACAGAACCACAACAGGTGTGTGGCGTGTTCTGATGTAAACAGAACCACAACAGGTGTGTTCTGATGTAAACAGAACCACAGCAGGTGTGTTCTGATGTAAACAGAACCACAGCAGGTGTGTGGTGTGTTCTGATGTAAACAGAACCACAGCAGGTGTGTGGCGTGTTCTGATGTAAACAGAACCGCAGCAGGTGTGTGGTGTGTTCTGATGTAAACAGAACCACAGCAGGTGTGTGGTGTGTTCTGATGTAAACAGAACCACAGCAGGTGTGTTCTGATGTAAACAGAACCACAGCAGGTGTGTTCTGATGTAAACAGAACCACAGCAGGTGTGTTCTGATGTAAACAGAACCACAGCAGGTGTGTTCTGATGTAAACAGAACCACAGCAGGTGTGTTCTGATGTAAACAGAACCACAGCAGGTGTGTGGTGTGTTCTGATGTAAACAGAACCACAGCAGGTGTGTGGTGTGTTCTGATGTAAACAGAACCACAGCAGGTGTGTGGCGTGTTCTGATGTAAACAGAACCACAGCAGGTGTGTGGCGTGTTCTGATGTAAACAGAACCACAGCAGGTGTGTGGTGTGTTCTGATGTAAACAGAACCACAGCAGGTGTGTGGTGTGTTCTGATGTAAACAGAACCACAGCAGGTGTGTGGTGTGTTCTGATGTATTTGCTAAGGTTCTTGTTTGTGCATTTTAAGTTATTCTGAAGGTGCAGTGTGTCAGTGATAACGGCTTATTAACCGAGCGTGAGGTCTGTATGGGGAAATATCAGACTTGATGTACAGAACGAGCCGTGGCGAGGTCTGTGTCAAAAGGCCAAGGTCTGATTTTTCTCTGTCGGTGCTTGTGTCGCGCGCAAGAGTAACGGCCTTCTCTTTGACGGCGGAGATGAAGTGGGCGGGACAATGCGCTGTTTTATTATCCCGTTAACTCACGTTAATTACACTTTTCATTAATGCACAAAAAAAAAAATTAATGCTTTAACGATGTCCGACTTTAAAACAGCTCTGCTTGTGTTCAAGTCTCTTCAAGTCTTCAAGTCATGTTAGTCCCATATGAACCAGCCCGGACTCTGGGGAGCACAGGGACCGGATTCCTGCTGGTGCAGAGGGTCAGGACTAAACATGGGGAGGCTGCATTTCAGATTCATGCTGCTAAAATCTGGAACAATCTTCCTGAAGATGTTTAAAACCAGGTTAAAAACAGTTCCGTTTATCTGTGCATACAACTGAGGGATTTCATATTTTAACTAACATGTCACTAATATATCTTTTTAATGTACTGTGATTATTTATGATTTTATTTTGTTCAGCACTTTCAGTTGCCTTGTGTATGAATTGTGCTATACAAATAAACTCGACTCGATTAGACCTAAACAGAAATCACAGGTCCAGAACTGACCTTGTTGTCTGTGAACAGTGGGAGGAATTATCTCATGCTTGATATTTTGTTATTTCTGTCTTAAACTTCTTATTACAGATTAAAGCTGCACTAACTGACTTTATTTTTGTATTCATTAGTTAAATGCTATCCATGTCCATGCAGTGCATTTGGATACACGTCCTTTTGAAGAAAAAGTAGAGCAGATTTGTGCTGGCGTGACATTATATTGTAGTTCGAGTTTTGATGAAACAAGGAAGAGAATGTGTTTCGGGTCGCAGATTGTGACCAATCACAGCGGACCACTAGCAATTGTAAACCACTTTGTGACTCTGGTCTGTGAAAGACACTATATAAATAAACATAACTTACTAAGGTTAATTTGATATTGCCTCAAGGGCCAAAGGAAATGGTGTGTGTGTGTGTGTGTGTGTGTGTGTGTGTGTGTGTGTGTGTGTGTGTGTGTGTGTGTGTGTGTGTGTGTGTGTGTCTTACTCAGGGTCCTGTGGTTCCTCCTTTATGTCCCTGAGCTCAGAGTCTTCCTCCAGTTTCACTTCTGCCATGTTCCACTGGGTTAGCTCCTGTTAGCTCCTGTTAGCTCCTGTTAGCTCCTGTTAGCTCCTGTTAGCTCCCGTTAGCCTGTTGTGATAATGGCGTCTCTTTTTAGCTTTATTAGCTCTCAGCCCCCTCCTGTTAGCTCTCTCCTGTTAGCTCCTTTAGCTTGTTGTTCAGAGCATTATAAGGGCAGGATAACCGTGCAACACGAACCATTCACGGAGGAAAACAAACACAACTCTTCAGTCTCTTTGACTCAAACACACGCATCAAGCGCACCGCGTCATTTATGAAGTAAAACACAAGGCACTTCCGGTTTGACCCTTCAGTGTAAGAGCATTCACACATATACAGATTCGAGGCAACACGCTCACTTGCTCTTAAAGCTGCACTAACTGACTTTATTTTTGTATTCATTACGAAAATGCTATCCATGTCCATGTAGTGCATTGGGATATACGTGATTTTGAAGAAAAAGTAGCGCAGATTTGTGCTGGCGTGACATTATATTTTAGATCAAGTTTTAATGAAACAAGGAAGAGAACGTGTTTCGGGTCTCGGATTGTGACCAATCACAGCGGACCACCAGTCCCTACTTTCGTGAGAAATCTACAGGTCCGTTAGCATAGACAGCTGAGTTAGCACAACAAGCGGCGGAGCTAACCTGAAACTTCCTCGTCTTCATCACCGGTTACTGCTTACACAGCGAAACAGCCATCCAAAAGAAAGTCTCGTTCCTCCGCGCTTCCCGGTTCTATCGTTCTATGGTCACGCCATCCACGTGCAAATCCATATCCATGTATTATCCATATTGGGAGACGCTAGCTTCGTCAACAACAGTGGGTGTGTGTGGGGGGCGATAGCTTCGTGGGTGCGGGGAGGGGAGCAGAAAGAGAGAGGCCAGCGAGTCCACGGCTTCAAAATCCCAAAGTCAGTTAGTGCAGCTTTAACACTGCAGTGCAAGTCAAATACACACAGGCATATTTACATTACATTTACATTTGTTGTGAGATGGTCTTTTGTCCATTGTATGTTACCGTAGTTGGGTATGCTAACCAGGAGGGGGCACTAGAATTCCAGTTGAGAACTGAGTCCGACACATGGCTGACGTTACCCCATGCTGTAGTGCAATAAAGGCTTTTCTGAAGAAGACCACGACGCGTGTCTTGCCTCATATCATGACATGGTGTCAGAATTGACGACTGCACGCCGACATTGAGAGCACGATGGCAAAGTTTGGACCTCCCGAGCCTTTTGATTTCACGCAGCCAGCGGAGTGGCTCACGTGGCGGCAGAGATTCTCCCGGTTTCGAGTCGCATCAAAACTTGACAAAGAGAGCAGCGAAGTGCAGGTGAACTCGCTCTTGTACTCTATGGGGAGAGATGCCGAACCTATTTACGGCTCATTTGTGTTTCCTGCGGCGACCGAGGCCATGCCACATCCAGAGTACGACTTTGATCTGGTTATTCAGAAGTTTGATGAACACTTTGTCCCGAAGAGAAACGTCATCCACGATCGCGCCTGTTTTCATAAGCGGAGCCAAAGGGCCGGTGAGGCAGTCGAAGCTTTCGTGCGGAGCCTGTACGAGCTTGCACAGCATTGTGAGTTCGGTGCGGGGAAGGACGAGCAGATCCGGGACCGGATTGTTATTGGAATAATGGACAAAGAGGTTTCTCAAAAACTCCAGTTAGAGGCGGACCTGACACTGGAGCGAGCCATCCAACTTGCACGTCAAAGTGAACAGGTGAAACAACAAAGTGCAGAGCGTGTGGAAATTACAGTGAATGAGGTGAGACAGAAACAATACAATAGCACAAGGAGGAGCTATGATAAACCGCACCAGGGATATGGACAGAAATACAATGAGAATAAACTTAACTGTCAGAGATGCAACAGGATGCATGATAAAAAGGAAAGCTGTCCAGCCCGTAACAAAAGGTGCAGAAAATGCAATAAAATGGGACATTTCGAGGCCGTGTGTAAGTCCAAGATGCTGAAAGAAGTCAGAGCAGAGACTGGTATGGACTCAGATGAAGATTCATTTTTCATTGGAGAACTATTCTTGGGAGCAACCACTAAGTCTAAGCCAAACATCATTGTGGAGTCAAACGCTGATACTGACTGGGATGTAGAGCTACTTGTGAATGGCACTGCAGCTAGGCGAGTGTTACGGTGGCGTGGCACTGGATAATACTCTCCACACGTCATCCTCTTCTGACTCAGTCACCTCTTGTTTCGAGTCCCGGCCGTTTTGTTGTCTTTTCTTTGGCTCCAGAGAGCCTCTAGAGGCAAGTGGTCACATGGTTAGTAGGAAGATCCAAGTAATGTTCTGGACCTGCCATTGCTCTCAGTTTCAGTTCATAAACCAGGAATATCGTTGGCTCACTTGCCGAACCACTGTGTGCACAATGTGCTCCCAGTGGCTTCTGAGTTTTGCCTGGACCCCCACTGGAAGTCAAGTTCCTGACTAGGACCATGAATCACCCGTAACAAAGCGAGGACACTCAGTTTACTGTTCATTAGTCTCTTACTCCCTGTGCCGCTTGTTTTGCTTTTTGTCGTGTGACCTCATACGCATCTTTCATACCCGGTCTCCTCTTAGCAGGAACTCTGAGGGTCAACAGTCAATCTTGCCCTGGTTTGAAGTAAACTAAACAACATGTCCCTGGTAACCGTGGTGAACGCCATAAAGTAGTAAAAAGGAGAAAACCCTGTCACCTCACTTCTACGTACAGTTATATGCATACACCATTTTGTTTATTGAGCCCTTCCAGTCACTCTTATTGTTTCTACATCATTTTTCAAACATCTGAAGCAAAGTTCGATTGAATCTCTTCACTTGTCCATTCCCTTGGGGGTGGTAGGGAAGTGTCCTCCGAACCAGCAACCCCACAATACACCTTTATTGGCAAAAAGTTGGTTCTCAAATTCACCTCCTTGATCCTGGTGAAGTCTCACGGAACCCAAACCTTAAGCATAATCATTAAATATTTTTCAGCTGCAGTTTTACCAGACTTGGATGTATCAGCATACCCTGGGACAAAACGGTAAAATGAATCAACTATGACAAGAATGTATTATTTATTTATTTATTTATTACTGGGACAGTGCATATTAATGAACATTTCTGTAAATATGCCAGAATTAGCCAAACGGCTATTTTTCATCCGTAGTCCCATGTCTCCTGAAAAGATAAAAACATGTTTGCTACACAGTTAAAATAGTGTGAGACATTTACAATATTTACAAGGACAAGACATTAAAACCTTCAGTCACACGTCGTTCAACAAACAACAATACACGATCACATGGAGACAGACACAGAACACATACAGGCGCACACAGAGCATGCGGCCAGCAGGGGGCAGCGAGAGCAGGCGGAGTCAGTGCTGACAGGTGTGATTATCAATGAGCCAGTGTTTTAACTGTGTTTTGTACGTGAGGTAAGAGGGTGCATTTCTGATAGTTGTGGGTAGGAGGTTCCAATCTGAGGTGGCACGGACGGAGAATGAAGATTGACCAAATGTGCTTTTCCTGAGGGGGGTGATACAGTCCCCTCTCGCTGCCCCCCTAGTCCTGGTGTGGGTGCTGTTTCTGGTATTGATGAACTGACTGAGAGGTGGGGATGAAAGACCATGAAGGATTTTATAGACCAGACAGAGATTGGAGAACTTCACCATGTTATTGAGAGTGAGAAGTTTGTGTTTGTGTAGTATGGGACAGTGGTGAGAGTGATGGGGTTTCTTGTCCAGGGTTTTTACCGTCCGTTTGTAGAGTGAGTGCAGGGGTTTCAGGGCTGTGGTGTTTGCTAGGGACCAGGGGGAGACAGTATGTGATGTGGGACAGAATCATGGAGTGCATAAACATTTTGGCTGCTGGTGTAGACATTTGGTGGCGGATGTGTTTGAAGTTGCAGAGGTTGTATTTAATTTTATTGCATGTTTTTTTAATGTGAGCTTTGAATGAAAGGTGTGAGTCAATTATTATTCCAAGGTATTTGTATTCTGTGACGATCTGTAGCCTGTTGCCTGAAACTAAAACATCTGGATCTGTGCATGGGAGAGACTTGTAAGATTTGGAGAAGAACATTGCAACTGTTTTGGATGTATTAAGTTTGAGACAGGAGTGATTGAGCCAGGATGAAATGTGAGCCATGGAGTTAGTGAGTTTTTCAGCAACCTGTGAAGTGTTATTGCCATGTGTGAATATTACTGTGTCGTCGGCGTACATGAGTATGGGAGTGTTGCAGACAGATGGGAGGTCGTTAATGTAGAGGGAGAAAAGTAGAGGAGCTAGTGTGGACCCTTGAGGAAGACCGGTGGAGAGACCGAGAGGTGAAGACTGGTGAGACTGGATACGGACCTGCTGCGAGCGATGTGAGAGATATGATTCAATCCATTTTATGAGAGAGGGAGAGAAGTTGAATGAGTGTAATTTGGCCAGAAGGATTTTGTGGTTAACTGTATCGAATGCTTTTTTGAGGTCTAAGAAAACAGCACCCACCACCCCTCCCCTGTCCAGCAGTGCTCTGATGTTCTCTGTGAAGTAGCAGGTGGCTGTTTCGGTGGAATGGTGGGTTCTGAAGCCAAACTGCATTGGGTGGAGACTGTAGGGTGTGGTGTGAAGGTGAAGGGATATTTGTTCTGCAACTAATTTTTCTGCTATTTTAGAGACTGAAGGTAGGATGCTGATGGGTCTGTAATTGTCCATGGATCGAGACCATTTGGAGACATGTTACATGCCTCCAAATGAGACTCAGACAACGAGTAATGATGAAATGCCGGTCGGCCTTTATTGAAGGAAAACTTTCCACCCCGACCTCCTCTACCATAGGGAGGTCGGCGGTGGGTGCGTTATCCGTGATGGTTGGTGGGCCTAGCGCCTCGGTGCTAGGTGCGGGGCTAGCCTAGCCGAGTCGTTGGCTGCAGACTCCAGTCTCGCCACCAGGGCCTGCATGTCCGGGCCGAAGAGGGACGTCTGAGAGATGGGCATGTCCAGCAGCTGCCTCTTCTCCGCCTCCCTGATATTAGCCAGCCCAAGCCAAAGGTGCCTGGCCCCGACTTGGGCTGCTGCCATGGAGCGGCCGCCATCCACGGCTAGCGTCTGGCACATGCGCAGGATCGCCGCCGAGGTGGTCCTCGCCTCTGACAGGAGGTCTCCACTGAGCGCCTGGCCAGAGGAGAGCGACCTATCCAGGGCCCCCGTGATGAAAGTCATGTTGTTAGCCAATGCGACGACCTGTGCCGCATTGGCATAACATCTATCCAGCATCGGCAAGACATCCTGTCCCGCTCGGAGGGAAGGAGAGGTCTGGTGCCGGGCCACACGGATGCGGAGGGCTGCAGGGCCATGCGGACTGAATCCTCGATGTCCGGGACACCACCGGTCCAGGACCAGTCCTGCACGCTGCAGTACATGCCGTACCCCAGAGCAGGCCTCTTGGCTGCTAGGGGCTTTGGCCACTCACGTGTCGCGTAATGGACGAACGGGTCCATCCGCGGGCACAACGTGGGTTGTATCCTCCTCCTCCCTCGAGTGGAGGCGCCCACAGAGGTGAAGTCCTCCACCGTCTGGATCCAGTGACGACGTCCGACGCCGGAGGGCGAAGGGGAACTCGGACGAACAAGGAAGACATCTCAGAATGAAGTAAGTACTGTGGTAGATCTCAAACGGCGCCAGAGTGAAAGAGGGGGTGCGGCCTTGTGCAGGGGCCTTTATAGAGGAGGGTGGCTGGTGATTGGAGCAAATTATTTTGATCTCTCTGGCGTGTGACCTGGGGGTCACGTGATATCCCACTAGCGAAGTCCTAAGGGACGTAGCACCATGACGTAGAATGGAAGTTGTTTTAGTAGTGTTTGTTTCCAATGCATAACAAAGAAATGGGTGAATATTTTATTTAGAATGTTTTGATTTTCCAATTTAATTTAGAAAATGGAAATACAATAAAACAACCACGTAATTTGTTTTCTGATTTTATTTTGAAACGGAATAACTAATGATCGAAGGGTACACGGATTCAACTGGAACTTAATGAACTGGATCTGAATGCAGAGTTATATTCTGAAGATGAAACGATCTTAAATGACTTGACTGTAGATATTGACCCAGATGTCAACTTCTACAAAAAACATAAACCATGTAAACTGTCAACGTTACCACGAACAACAAGTACAGACACAAACTGGAGATGAACGGCTTATTAACCGAGCGTGAGGTCTGTACGGGGAAATATCAGACCGCGGCCTTAATGTACAGACCAAGCAAGCGAGGTTAATAAATGTTTTATTATATGACTATTTATTTTTTCATCATTATTTTCTGTACTTTCTTCCTCTGGCTCGTCAAAGTCGTCCGATAATAGAATTCACTGGAGAATGCTCCGAGTTGTTGCCCGTTATTTATTTTTTACCGAGGAAACTCAGAAAAGAAATCAATTGTGATACACGCTGCTCGGACTGATTGTCATGGTAACGGTCCGAGATGGGAAAATATCAGACCGGCAATCAGCCAATCAGAGCGCGCGTACGGTCCAAGTCATATGATAATAAGTCTTATCAATAATACATCTAAATGCAAGAAGTTTGAATGCAAATGTTGATAATATTGTTCACTTTCTGAATGAACTTGAGTTTGGATGTTATTGCTATCTCAGAGACTTGGCTTAAAGGAAACAATAAAAACAACTGTGATTGTGGGATACGATATGTTTAGACAGGACAGGGTGTGTAAGAATGGTGGTGGAGTGGCACTTTATATAAGTAATAAGTTGCACTCGCGAATTGTGGAAAACATGACTATTGTTGTAGACAATGTAATGGAATGTGTGACAGTTGAAATAAAAATGACAAATAGGACAAATATACTCATCAGTTGCATATAAAGTCCGCCTGGATCAAATACTGCACTTTTTATTGATCAAATCGATGAATCAAAAGAGGTCTCCATCTGTGGTCATTACAATCTGGACTTACTCAAAACAGACTCACTCACCCACAGAAAGATTTATTCATACATGATATAGTTCATTCTAACCCAAAATGACCAGAGCCACCAGAATAACTCTAAATAGACCGTCTCTAATTGACAATATGTTCACAAATGTTCAACAAGATTTGACTAATATGACGACTGGATTAATCATTAATGACTTAGCTGATCACTTGTCAATTGTTGTAATGTTTAAAACTGATATTAAAAGAAAGGATCAAGAAGAATTGAACATACAATATGTACGAGTTAAAAATGACAATAAACAAATTCAGAACAAGCTGCTAAATTATAACTGG